ATTATCCTCTGATAATGAAGACTTCAATTTATCCAGATGTCCAGTTTACGCAGAACTATTATAGTCATATGTTGGGGTTTGATGGGAACATATGGAGCAGTTCTATCATTCATAAACTCATAGATTTCAGAGTGTATGGAGTGTTTCCTGTTTATTAGAGACTATGGAGTTAAAAACATTTTACAGTCATTAACTTATTAGGCTAGACTGAGTTTTAATTTGAGAAGATTGAGCCACATCTCCAAGAATTTGTCTAACACTTTACATTCTCTGCATTTGCTTGCTTTAGTATAAGAATTGTGGGTACTTTAACTGGTCTCCTAATCTACATTCTTAGTTTTCTATAATTTATCTATTCTCTTCACCAATGATTCTTCAATACCAAGATTTTTAACAGGTAAAATTTTGAGGCAAAATGAGAAAACTAAAGTGAAAGTGTTGAATTTTTCATTAAGGTAAATTTATTCAATTCAAATTATTAGCTTTTATTCCAAGATTATATTCTTTGTACATTATTGGTATTAAAATATTTTCCATGCAACAATGGTAATTTTTCAATGGCCTTATTGATAAAAATTTTAAAACTGATCCCCACTTCATTTTATTTTTTATGAAAATCCAAGAGTTTTGGAAACTAGCTACCTCAGAGATCTTTTTGAAACTCTTACCTAATCATTTCATTTTCTTGCCTAAAGCCTTTAGGGTGGACCACTGTGGCCTAAGGTGGTATAATGTCACTGGGGTTTTGTTTTTTTGTTTTTTTTAAAAGATTTTATTTATTTGATAGAGAGAGACACAGCGAGAGAGGGAACACAAGCAGGGGGAGTGGCAGAGGGAGAAGCAGGCTTCCCGCGGAGCAGAGAGCCCGATGCGGGGCGCGATCCCAGGACTCTGGGATCAGGACCTGAGCCGGAGGCAGATGCTCAACAACTGAGCCACCCAGGCGTCCCGCCACTGGGGTTTTGAATCCTTATGTGCATTAAGTATTTTCTGTAGACTAAATAAAGTACCTTATTTTTTCCCTAAATTTTTTAAATGTAAGAAGATGCTCTATGATGATAATCAGTTTATTTTAAAAGTTTGACTTTCCAGTTGCCTTTTGTCATGGTGTGGTTTTTTTTGTTTTTTTTCTTTTTTCTTTTTTAAAGATTTTATTTATTTATTT